TTCTAATTTTTTCCCATTTTGAATAATAATACAGAAAACACCCATGACATATATTTTTGCATGCATGAGCAAGTTCAGCTGTAGGATAAATTCTTAAATGTAGAATCTCTGAGTCAAGGGGTAAATGAGTTTTAAGTTTTGTTATATATTGCCAACAAATTCTTTAAAACACAGTCATCCCACCAACAATAAAAGAAAGGGTCTGTCTTATCTGCTGTCATTCATGAGTATTTTGGTTTTAATTTATTCATGAACTTTAGCATAAAGAAAATAGAATAAATTATTTTTATTAAATAAAACAAGGAATATTGTCTCTTGTAACAGACAAAAACTATGAAGAGGGTCTGAGATTGCCTCAACATGTTAACATATATCATTTAGCTCTCTTTAGCAATACCAAGTTAGGACCTTGGACTCTGAAGTCAGATACTTAAGAGATTAAATTTTTTTCTGCTACTTCTAGTTCTGGGAACTTTCCTCACTTAAAGGAAAAGGGTAAAAATATTACTTACCTCATGGTGTTTCTGGCTTGGATGAGATAGTTCCTATCACATATTTAGCATAGTATTTGAACATGGAAAGCACTCAACAAACATTAGCTATTGGTTATTTTTTAGGAAATTTCTAGTAGAGATGAAAAATCTTTAAGACTAATAGATGGATGATTTTTATAGGTTTCTGTGCAAGTCACAATTGCTGCTGGGAGACTGTGAAAAATTAAACTGACCTCCAAAATTTAGAGAAGAGATGAATGCCCACAAAAAAAGGTTATATTTTCTCGTTGTGATTTTGCATTGGAAAGTTAAAATTGCCTTTTGTAGAATTCTGTCTTTGACTTCACATACAAAAACTAAATATATATCAAAAAGGAATTATGTATTTTTGACTCTAAAAATGTTGGGATGTCGAACAACTGGCTAAAGAGCCATACTCAGAAAAAGATATTTAAATAACCATTACAGTCTTGTCTCTGTTAAGGTAATACGAAGAGCCAGCCAGGTAGCACTGTTGGGAAGAGAAAAGTCACTTCCAAAATACATTTTAAAAGATGCTGTAAATTAAATTCTTATTGCTGGATTTGCCCCCACTCCCTCCAATATTCCCAATCCTTTTCAGCTGGTTTCAGCTCATACTCTGGTCCTAACTGAAACATCACTTCTCTGGGAGCCTTAGACCACCACCACCCCCATTACAAAGGTAGACCTATGGTAGGATTCTATGCTTCCCATCATAACCCTCATTGTCATTTATTTTAACAGCTTGTATCAAACCCTATCTCTGGATCATAAAACTAGTGAGAGGAAAAGCTGCATTGGTCCTGGTCACCACAGTATTCCCAGGGTCTAGAATATTACCTACTCTTTCATATGTATTCAATACACTGACTGTGTGTTGCTGAATAAATATTCGAATGAACATTATTCAGCTTCTGTTTGACAAACATTTGTTGATCCTTATATAACACAGCTGCATCCTAGGCATCCAGAATATAGAGGTCAGTATGAAACAATTTTGCAACCCAAGATGTTCAGAGTCAAGTGAAGTCAACAAGCACTAATACAATCTAAGCAGAGCTCTGATAGAGGCCTGTACAAAGTACTAAGGCACCAAAGAGGACCTACTTCTGCCTGAGGTGTCAGATGACACACAGAGGAATGTTCTAGGTAGTAGCAACATTGTCAAACTATTAAGAAAGATAGCTTAAAGATAGCTGGTTTATAGCCAGTTCACTGTCAAATTGATTTCTGTCAGGAGAAAATGCCTATTTTCCTAATTAAATAGAAAAAGAGGTATAACAAATTTCCTTTCCATATAGAAATTAGCATCTGTGTTTTATAAAGTCTACATGTGAGAAAACTACTGTTTTGAAATATCATTCCCAATATTGTTTATAATGCTTTTACTTTGAAGTTTAATGAATAGGAAATTTTACTTTTAATATACATACAAAGGAAAATAACTACATATTTCCTTCAAGAAATTCCATTCCACACATAAAAGCAATTTACTAAAGGCCTTGAAAACACCACAAGAACTGGTTTCAGAAAGCTTTTTTCCACTGGGTCCATTTTATTCCTTCCCTATAAAATATGCTTTTTTTAATCTTTAAAAAATCAGTTATGAAATGCCTACTAAAATAAGGTACTAAAGTTTATAGTCTACAAATATCTACCCAGGTACATCTTATACATATATATGTAATATATAAAAACTTGTGAATATACAAATATCTGATATATAAAATTTCTTTATGATCGCATGAATAAACTCCAGAAGTACAAAAAAGAAAACTTTTTGGCCAAATACACACATTATAAAATATTCTTCATTTTATAAAAGAGTCTTACATGGTTCTTTTACAAGTTTCTTTGCGGCATTTCAAAGTATAACTCCACTTTCTAGAAGTGACTATATTAATTATAAACTTGAAAGTCAAATAAAACAGCATATAAGCAAAACATTCAGAGGAAAAAGCGAATGACCAAAATAAAAAGGGGCAGGCACTAAAAATAAAATTTCCTCTAACATTTAACATTATATTTGTGATTTAATTAAGATTCCTAACATATGCCTCTGGCCACCCTTCTGTGTGTTTTAATGTACCTTACACATCTAACATGCACTAGTACATATTAATTGATTCAATATATAATAACATATTCTGGTGTAATGGGGTTCACAGGCTGAGACTGGGCACTAGGAGTTTGGTTTAATTTGTTTTTAATTGGGAAACTGAAATTTTGAATTTGAAAGCTCCTAAGAGGTAGAAGCTTGAATTTAACTTGAGGCAGACTATTATTTGTCAAGGAAGAGAGGAAGATGACTTCAATTAGATCCTAAACTTACACAGATGTTAAAAAAAAAAAAGCAAAGACCCCTTCTTCAAAATGTGAAAGATAGTTTGACTGCTAGGAGCAAAATTGTTTTGTATGACAAAGGAAAACCTTATCTTGGGTTGGGGGAAGGCAGGAAAGCTAGCCACTGCTGTGTGGACTCAAGGTTGGGAGCTACAAGGACAGCAGTAGGGCTAGAGACTAGGAATATAGGTGCATGTGGCTGTCATTATAAACTATTGGCTGTTTTATTTCCATTTTATTACCTTCAAACGCTCAGTAAAGTCTTATTAAAAGTTATAATTTGGTTCCAGCCAAGGCAGAGTAACAGAAACCAGATTCCTTACCTACTTGAAACCAAAGAATGGACAAAATATATGAAAAAATGGTTATGAGGCAGTAGGCTTCAGGCAATGAAGGACAGTGATCTCTGAGAAATGGAAAACAAACAGGATGAGCCCTTTGATAGCCCTAGACTTACTGCCATCAGAGACTTTCCAGGTCACAATACAGGAAGGGGAAACCAATGCAGAGCCTAGCAAACTCTCTGATCTAAGGAGATAAAGCTGAAAGTCCTG